ATCATTATGCTGATGAAATCAATACTCATTTTCTAAAACTTTCCCGTATCTGTAATCTGAAAAGCATCCAAACAAGTTTGTTGGGCATAGTTTGCTCCTAGAAAAGACATGCTTACTGATACGTTCTCTATAAGGGACTAAAATATCAATTACACAACCATTTGTGTTTAACCTAAAATAGGTAACACCCCCAGTATCCTTCTGGAATTCACATCTGTATCTTTCACAAAGGTTATGTTTTCTCCATAGTTTGAGATATAAATTATCCGAGTACAGATTTTTTATAAACCAATGTCTTGACTACCTTGAGTGTCTATTTTTATGCCTATTTATGTTGCTTTCCTGTTTTAAAGTCATTATCATTCTATAAAGTACAACAAAAATGGAAAGAGGAAATTAAGCACTTTGTCTATCATTATAAATACAAATAAAATTTGACATTAATCCAAAATACTGAAACCAGCTTTCTCATGAGCTTTTAAAAATAGCTTAGAAAATAATGAGTGCAGGGGCTGGAGAGATAGCACAACGGGTAGGGCGTTTGCCTTGCACGCGGCCGACCCAGGTTCGATTCCCAGCATCCCATATGGTCCCCTGAGCACTGCCAGGAGTAATTCTTGAGTGCAGAGCCAGGAGTAACCCCTGTGCATCGCCAGGTGTGATCCCCCCCCCCAAAAAGAAGAAAATAATGAGTGGAAGTATTTAAAAATCAGCCAGTCAGTAATTAAATGTTTATGTTGAACCACTGTAGGCATCTGGTCAATTTTGAAATATCTGAGATAATCAAAGTTCCAGTTAACAATAAACTCAAAAAGATACTTTAAACATTTACCTCTCTGAATATTGTAAATAAGTTTTCTTTGTTGGGGGTGGGGCGGGCATACCCAGTGCTCGAGGCTTACTCCTGCTCTATGCTCAGGACTCACTCCTGAGGGTCCTCAGGGAATTATATGAAGTGTGCATGCAAAGCAGAAGCCCTGCTCACTGTATTCTTTCTCCAGCCCTCCCAAAAGTCATTAACTGGAACAACTCTTGCTCTATAAACTTCAAGACCAAAATAGGCTCCAGTTCTCACTAAACATCTTTTCAACAAACTATATATTTTCAAATCAAAGGTAAAGGTAAAGGTAAAGGCTCTCCCGCTGATCGTCGATTTGCTCGAGCGGGCCCAGTAACGTCTCCATTGGAGACTTTGTTGTTACTGTATCTGGCATATCGAATACTCTCGGTAGCTTGCCGGGCTCTCCGAGAGGGGCGGAGGAATCAAACTCGGGTCGGCCATGTTGGCCGCTTGTAAGGCGAACACCCTACCCGAGTAAATTTGGTTTTGAGGTGACTTAGGTCACATAAAAGAAATTAGGGTGTGGAGTATGCACAGTAATCTTTTATTTAAAAGAGAATAGAATTGAGTCATATAAACCGGTTAAACCAATAGGACCAGCTTATCAGACTGAATTACTATAGAAACTTTCCTCAGATATAGTAATGTGGTAATGAAATAATGGGTTTTTACAGATACAGAAATGTGGTATTAAAATGTAAATGGAGGACGGATATAGTATAGGGACAAAGGTCCTTATCCTTGCACCCCAATTCAATCCCCAATACCTCAATTCCCCCAAACACCACCAGGAGGGATCCCTGAGCAGAGGCAGCAGAAGCCCTGCACACTGCAGGGTGTGACTCAACACCTTCCCCCCAGCAATTCATAATACAGGAAAATGTGGGTAACATCTACCCTATAATCAAATATCCTTCAAGGGAAAAACTATTGTTGTGAAATTATTTGGAAACACTTAAGTTTTATATCCAGATTTTATGATTACAAGGGTTGGAGCGATAGCACAGCGGGTAGGGCGTTCGCCTTACACGTGGCCAAAATGGCCGACCCGAGTTCGATTCCTCCGCCCCTCTCGGAGAGCCCGGCAAGCTACCGAGAGTATTCGATATGCCAGACACAGTAACAACAAAGTCTCCAATGGAGACGTTACTGGGCCCGCTCGAGCAAATCGACGATCAACGGGAGGGCCTTTACCTTTACCTTTATGATTACAAGGGAGTAGGGAGTACCAGCCTTCCCTCCACCCTTTTTTGCTTTAGCACTTGGCAATGGTCAGTGGTTACACCTGACACTACACACACATTATCACTCCTGGTGGTGCTCTGGGGACCATAAGGGATGTTGGGAATCCGGGACCAAAGCTGGGTCAACTGACTGTAAGGCAAGTGCCTCATCTACTATGCTCTTTGGTGCTGGGACTCCCTTACATTAAGAAAAATCAGTGGAAGAGCTGAAGTATGCGATAATACACTAGTTACTGATTTCGAGTGCTTCTGAAGTATTTTGGGGAAGTTGGTTTGCAGATTCCAACCGCCCTCACATTTGGGAGATGTGAACTTTTGAATTGAATGTTTACACTGTGCATTGGTTATCACAATAATTAAGCATTATTGTGATTTGAGAGACTTCAACTGCAGTACTAAAGGGAGGAGAGGGAAAGAGAAGGGAGAGGAGAAACGAGGGGAAGGTTTTGCCTTTTCCCAGATGATGATCCTGCATTGCAATCTCTGAACTAATTGACAGAAATAGAATGTTAGTACTGGAGACAGTTCATGTGCCATGCATTTATAAGGATGATCTTATTTTGATAACTAATGGTTAACATGACCCAAATTTTAATGACCTGATCATCTATTTTGTTTAGTGATGTATTTGTGAAATATTATCTTAAATAGCTTTAGGTGCCTGTTACTATGTATAGCAATAAAGATACATGCAAATACAGATTCAGCTGAAACCTCACAGGCAAGTAACAGAGTATAAGAAGCAACAGTCTTTCATTATTGAACTTCTACAAAAAGTTCTAAGAAGTCTGCCAAGAATTTTCAGAAATCATTTAGGCAGTTATGTGTACTTATCTTGATAGCTAAGGATCTCCTCACATGTGGAAAAACTTATGTAATAATGTTCTTCCCTGAGCTTTCTTGGTCTAAAGCACAGACGGGGCACTGCATCATGATGCAGAGTATCAAGTTTTGAAGTTGGTTTCTAATACAAATCTGGCCTCTAGCCAGCTATTTCAATTTTTCTTTTTTGGTTTTTAGGTCACACCTTACAGTGCTCCAGAATCACTCCAGGCAGGCTTGGCTTGGGTATCTATATGGGGTGCGGGTATTATAGTCATTGGTGTAAGGATTGAAGTTTTAAGAAACTCAATAAATGGTTGAAATTAAAAAAAAAGTTCCTAGTGCTGTTTTCATCCTATAACAAGATCATTTAAGAGATATTATTGGTATACCTGCTCTATCTGGATGCCCTAATTATGGTATCTTGCTTCTGTGTAGTCCACACTTCTCAAAATCTTTAGTGTTAAAAACTGTTAATGTTGGCATTATTTCCTTTCACAAAAAAAAAAAAACATGTAAAAGACCAAAAAGAAAAATCCACCGAGATGAAGAACTCAAAAAAAGTATTACTTATTTGTTTAGTTTTACTACCAAGCTGTTTAAAAACTACTTTAAAACTATTTTGCTTAATTTATATTCAAGTGATTTTATAGCAAAAAAGTCTGTAATTTTTATTTCCACTGAGCTGACTTGCTAATAATGAGACATTAAGATAATAAAGTATTAAGATTTTTAAAGCAGAATAAAAATAAAAACTATCAACCAGTAATTTAATTGTATCAACCAGTATCTTAATTATATTTGCTGATTCCTAGAAAGCAGAACAGTGGAAGAAGCAAGAGCTGCCATTCAGCGGCAATAAACATCTTTAACATTTTAAGAATTAACTTAAATAACAGTAATTAAAATGAAACAATAGAAGGAAACCTCCAAACAATAGCCTCACAAATTCAGGCCAGAGATGTGGCCAAGTGATAAAGCGCTTATCTTGCATGTGAAAGACCCTGAGTGCAATCCCCAGCATTGCAAAGAAAAAGAAAAGTCACAAATTAGATACCTTTGATTATAGCACCAGGAATTCTGGTATAAAGTCTGCTTATAACATACTAAATAAAGAAAACCTTTTGTTCGCTCAACTGCCATTGGGGAATTTAAAAAAAAAATGTATTTCAAGTATTACTTCCTATTATTTACTAAGTTATGTGGTTTAAGCAGTAAAATACTACTAGTTTTCTTCTGTGACCTACATAAGTAGATTTAAAACTCTTTAGTAGCCTCTAACCTATAATCCTAACTTCTACTTGGTTAGGGAAAAAAAAAGTAACTTTTTATGTACTTGCAGAAACAAAATTTTAAAAATAAATTTCTCTAACAGTGAGTACATCCCATCCTTTCTCAAGGATACTTCAATTAATGTCCCAGTCAAATTCAAAGCTAAAAGGAAATAAAAATAGTAGGAATACCATACCTTTTTTTTTTTTGATTATTCAGATTTGGAGTGGGGGGCTAGTGCTCAGAGCTTACTGCTGGCTCTGCACTCAGAGATTGCTCCTCACAGGCTCAGGGAACCACACTGTGTGCTGGAGTTTGCTGGCAGGTACTTATATCTGAATATATGATGCTTGGAAAATCTCTTTATCTAATATAAATATTTCAGAGATACCTTTGTTGTCTTCAATAATCAGATGAGAAACACAAAAAATTCAAGAGATCGTTTTCAAATCCATAGCTTGTCTTGCTTTACGTTAAAAATAATGGATAATTTTTTAAAAATGGAAAATACAACACACTTGATATTTACAATGGTTTGTGACAAATACCTGAAAATAACTTCTAATTTTTCATTTATTATTGCTATTTAGTCACAGAAAAACATTCTCAAAGAAATTTATTTTAGGATGTGACACATATGGAAATAATTTTATATGAAATCATTGCAGAAGTGACTAACACGGTACCCTTACAGGGAAACAAAGGAAAGGCAGTAAGAAAATTCTTTCATATAAAGACTCTTGATCTACATCATTTTTTCAAATTATAAAACCTTAACATTACAAGGAAAAACAGCAAAGAAAACAATAAAACAGAAGATCAAAAACAAGGAGTCGCGTTATGCAGATGCTCTGCATACGTAGCATACATGTATGAGTTATGTATTATAGTCAATTCTCATATAAAGTTAGAAACAGCAGTTTCCAATCAAGCGCAACTAGACTGTCATTTTCTGGATCTTCAATACTAGGATAAATCACAGCTGTGCAGCAGTCACTTCTGGTCCTCAGTATCAAGATAAATGCTTGATAAGATACAATTTTTCTCCTTGTTCACTTGTGAAAATTGGAGCCTTTTTGTAATGTTCTACCAGTTCTTCCATGGTGCTGAATTTACGCTGTCCGATGCAGTAGACAGTCTCCTTTAGCTGAACTTTAAAATGCTTGTTTTTCCCTTGTGCTTTTAGTGATACTGAGAAGTCATTTGGCTAAAAAGAGAAAAAAATATGTAAACACTTTTCTTAAAATCCTAACACGCTAAATGTTAGCATTTACAAAAAGTACTGGGATTATGCTCAATTCTTTTTAGATTATCTACTTTATCCTTTATAGATTTTTTAAAAATGTACTTTGAACCTCAAAACAAGTCCAATTTATATATGAGGTGACACAGACAGCAGCTAAGCAGCCAATATCATCCATCTCATTTATAAGAGATTCAGGATTCAAGACCAAACATTATTTATACCAAAATCAATAAACAATGTCCAAACACCTATAGTAAACTATTTAATATTTGAATAAAGCTATTTTCTTTGCAGACAAAGGAACACAGGAAAAAATCCAAAACATTCTTAAGCTGCTGAATTCTCAAATGTTGAAGGACACAAAAATAGTAATTAATTTGAACTGAGCGGTCTTAAATTCAAATGGCTACAAGGGACAGAAATTATACATACAGGGGCTGGAGAGAGAGTGGCAGGATGCTTGCCTTGCATGCAGACGGCCAGGGTTCAATTCCTGGCACCTTATTTGGTCCCCCAAGCACTGCTGAGAGTGATCCCTGAGCAGTCAGTAGTAAATCCTGAGCACCACCAGGTGTGGCTCACCAAAAAACCAAACTGTGTGATATATATAACATTTTAAAAGGTAAAGGTAAAGGCCCTCCCGTTGTTCATCGATTTGCTCGAGCGGGCCCAGTAACGTCTCCATTGGAGATTTTGTTGTTACTGTGTTTGGCATATCGAATACATCACGGGTGGCTTGCCAGGCTCTGCCGTGGGGGCGAGATACTCTCGGTAGCTTGCCAGGCTCTCCGAGAGGGGCGGAGGAATCGAACTCGGGTCGGCCATGTTGGCTGCGTGCAAGGCAAACGCCCTACCGCTGTGCTAGAGCGATATAACATTTTAATATATTTTATATTATATTCATATATATTGTTATAAATAACATATACACACTATCACTATTTTCGCTTGGGGCACCCCAGAGGGGGGTGGGTGGGAGCCCTCCCTGCCTCAAGGGACCCAGCCCCGGCGGCTTACCTTAAAGACACTTTCTACCCATTTCCCATCTACCCATTTTCCATTTCTACCACACCATGTCTGATGGAGTTCAGACAGTAGGCAACAAATCACGGAGAGAAATATAAATATATATATATATATATATATATATATATATATATATATATGCCTCTCAGAGAGCCTGGCAAGCTACCGAGAGTATCCTGCCTGCACGGACAGGGCCTGGCAAGCTCGCCGTGGCATATTCGATATACCAAAAACAGTAACTATAACAGGTCTCATTCCCCTGACCCTGAAGGAGCCTCCAATCGCTGGAAAAGACAAGTAAGCAGAGGCTGCTAAAATCTCAAGGCTGGGACGAACAGAGACGTCACTGGCACCCACTCAAGTAAATCAACGAACAACAGGATGACAGTGATACAGTGATACACACTATCACATACAAGGTAGATGGAGAGGGCACCCCGGACCAATTTAAAAGAGGTGACAACTTAGGAAGAGTATGAGATCATGGGAGTGGGAAGGGGCTAAATTAGGGAAGGAAACACTAGGACAATGGTGGAGGGGCAAAGTGATTCAATTAAAAAAAATTTTTTTTTTTAAAGAATGAGTTCAAATAGTGACAGAACTTCCAATTTAAAAAGGGAACTATAATCTCTTAAATTTTTCTAATAAATATCTAAACACCGATAATAAATTCATCAGTTAAAAAATATTATGCAGAACAAAATATGCCTGTTTGAGAACTCTCCTAAAAAATAATATTCTGGTACATGGTCTATTTTAGCTAACATCTATGCTCAATTACCCATAAGAAAATGCACAATATTCTTGGCACTCTTATACATTATTCTATTCTCAATGAAAAATTCAGTATTCACAGAATATTTCAGGAAAACAAAATCAACAGAACTAGACGGCCAAATAATCTAGAGTAACATCAGTGCTATGACTATACTTTATTTAAATCAAACGTAGCTGTAAATAAATGCTGACTTGAGATTTATCAACATTCACGCTCATGTCCTATCTTTCTAACCTGGTTAATTTTAGAGAAGCCTTTTAACATCTCCAATCTTTTATTATTGTTTTTTTTTTAATACCCAAAACTCCATTTCCACTCACTTATGAAACTTACCGAAGATTCACTATCACGAATGAGGAAGTCACCTTCATGCCCTCTTTCATTCAATGCCATTTCTGCTTGATGCCTGGTGACTTTCCCATAATACCATGGATTGCCAGCAAATTTTCCAGTGAGTGAAGGCCTAATGTAATCACACTGTGGAGGTGATGGCTCCAAACCTGAGGTTAATGGATTATTCTGCATAATAGTAACATAGTTTTTTGGCACCAGACCAACCATTCCATTGATCTTCCTGCATTTCCACCACTCAGGATCATTTTCAGGTTTTTCAATAACATCCATTACATCGCCTTTCTCGAAATTAAGTTCTTCATCATTGGATGAGCTGAATGGGTAAAGAGCCTGGACCACGTGTAACACTTGCCCAGTGTTTAGGTTATTGACGACTGCTGCTAATTTCTCTGACAAAGAACCCACATGGTCACCCAAAGGACTGTCACCTTCCTCAGTTACATAATTTGAAGGGAACCATCCAACTTGTCCATTGTAGCTACCTCGCCACCAACCATCACTGCATTTCTCCATGACGATCACCTTCGTCCCTTTTGTCAATGACAATTCATCCTCTCTCTCTGCCATGTAGTTAAACTTGACATAAGCAGGCATGTTGAGGTCATAGAGACGTTCCCCTGGGTCAACAAAGCTATCATCAGCAGGAGATGCAGAATCAGGAACACTAGGTTTTCTTTTCACTTTTCCAATTCCTGTTTAAATAAAAGGGGGACAGTCAGAAGAGAATATAAAACAACGATAACCCAAACAACTCCAATGCATTCATTATTTAAAAAGGACCTCCATGGGCTGGAGCAAGAATATAATGTGGGGCGTTTACCTCACATGTGACAGACTCGGGGGCTCCATCCTTGGCACCCTATATAATCCCGAGACCCACCAAGAGTGATCCCTGAGTTCAGAGCCAGTTGTAAGGCTGAACACTGCTGGATGTGGCATCCCTGCCCCCTCCACCACCAAGTCACAGGCAATGATCAGATTATACAAGAGAATGGTTTACTACATGTGGGGGGACATCAGCACGACTACTTAGAATTAACCTTGTGCCACATGCCACATGCCTATTCAAAAAGGGACAGTTCCATGTGTCTGGGAATATTCATATACCAGCTTACTTTGCCAGCAGGAAGTTTCACATGAAGTGATAAGAAAAAAGACAATGTACTGCTAGGTGCTGATGAACATGGACAAAGAAGAGAGGGCCCAGCCCAGTCCCTGGGGCCTGTGGACAATGCTGTCATGCCTGGCGGGAGGACAGTGCCCAGTCCCTTGGGCCTGTGGACACTGCTGTCATGCCTGGGGGGGAAGGATAGTGCCCAGCTTGTGGAAGGAACCCTCCCAGTGCTGAGAGGAGAGTGCAGATCACCTGCCCTTTACTTCAGATACTGTCTTGGTTCAACCCTTCAACAAGCTTCACTTTTTTGTTTGCTTTTATTTTTTTGGCCACCCCAATGATGCTCAAGGTCTACTCTTGACTCTACACTCAGGAATTCCCCTGGTGGTGCTCTAGGGATCATATGGGATGCTGGGGATCAAACCCAGGTTAGCTGTGTGCCGGGAAAGTGGCCTACACGCTGTACTATCACTCTGGACCACAAGTCTGACTTTTTACAAGTCAGAGTTCAGTTTTCAAACTGGGGAGAAACCTCCAAGGACTAAAGCACTTGCTGTGCATTGCAGAAGGTAAACCTAGGTCAGCTCCCTGACACCCTACATGGTTCCCTGAGCATTGCAGGAAAGCCTTCTTGTGCTTAGAAACACTAGGCAATATTTGGGCATGACACGTTAAGCAGTCAATTGGCATTATACCTTCAACAACAGTAAAAACCATATACCAAAAATACAAAAGAAAGTATGCCATTAAATAAACACTAGAAAGGGACACAAGAGCTAAAATAAGCAATAACTTGCTTGAACTCAGTTGGCACTCAGAAAACCTAATTTTTTTTGCTACTTAGCACATATCTGCAAAAGTATTGCAAGTGTCAGCATGGGGCAATGTGGGGATTTCAACAAAATCTTAGCAAATAGGCAAATTCACAAATATGAAATCTGTGGAAAACATGAATCCTGTATACTAGCAAACGGACTCTAAAAGCATATTAAAAGAACTGTACATCATGACCAGGTAGTATGGAATCAGTAGACAAACTGTATGAAAATTGCTTATAAACATGGAATTGAAATGAAGGGAGAAAAATCCCCTATGATCTCCTCCATGAAGTTTTACCATTCATTAAAATCTAAAACTTTTTAAGATAAAGTCAGCAATAGAACAGAATCTCAACAAAGAACATTTATTGAAAAGAAAACCCATTATATCGCACCTCACACAAACATGAAAGACTGAAAGCTTCTCTCCTAAATTAAGCACCAGCCCCCCCCCCCCCATTTAAAAATAAAACAACTGCTCTTTTCAAGGCTTTCCGTTTTTACACAAAAATGTTCCCCCCCACTCCCGCCCTTAGGCAGAAACATTCTCCATTCTTGTCCTTGAGCATTCAGTCTAGGTTTTAGGCACTTGCCCTGCATATGCGGCCAACCTAGGTTCTATCCCTGGCAGTGTCAGGAGTGATCCCTGAACACAACACAGAACCAGGAGTAAGCCTTGAGCATAGCTCAAAACAAAAAGGAAGCAGTAATATCCTCCCTGCCACCTAAAGCATATTAAAAGAACTGTACATCATGACCAGGTAGTATGGAATCAGTAGACAAACTGTATGAAAATTGCTTATAAACATGAATCCTGTATACTAGCAAACGGACTCTAAAAGCATATTAAAAGAACTGTACATCATGACCAGGTAGTATGGAATCAGTAGACAAACTGTATGAAAATTGCTTATAAACATGGAATTGAAATGAAGGGAGAAAAATCCCCTATGATCTCCTCCATGAAGTTTTACCATTCATTAAAATCTAAAACTTTTTAAGATAAAGTCAGCAATAGAAAAGAATCTCAATAAAGAACATTTATTGAAAAGAAAACCCATTATATCGCACCTCACACAAACATGAAAGACTGAAAGCTTCTCTCCTAAATTAAGCACCAGATTGCCCCCTCTCTTGACCAGGCATACAGGCTCAAAGAGCTGTAGTGTGTGCTTTCCATGTGGGAGGCATGCTTGATTTCTGGCACCACAAAGTAAGTTCCCCAAGCACCCACCTCTGGAAGCAAATCCTGAGCATAGTGCTGGGAGTAGTCAAGTACTCCCCCAACCAAATTCCCTTTCTTTTCCAAAAACAAAGTTGATGCATTCCTCCTTTTGTGCCACTGCTACTCCTTGTAGTTTTACCATAAATCACTATATTATATATATATCCAAATTATATGTTTTGAGATTAAACATGTCTTTAAACACCTTTATTGGGGGACTGGAGCAATAGCACAGCGGGTAGAGTGTTTGCCTTGCACGCGGCCAACCTGGGTTCGATTCCCAGCATCCCATATGGTCCCCCGAGCACCGCCAGGGGTGATTCCTGAGTGCAGAGCCAGGAGTAACCCCTGAACATCGCCAGGTGTGACCCAAAAAGAAAAAAAAAAACCAAAAAAACAAACCAAAAAAAAACCTTTATGACCAGTGCCTGCCCATAATTGCTTCCTTAATGTTTGTCATGTGAATGACTGAACAAACACCTGCAAAATCACTAGATTGCTTTTCCCCCAGTCTACAATTCTTGAGAAGAGTTCTTTCTAATACAGCCTTGCTATATTAGAAGCTGGTCCTTTCCAATCTGCAATCAACAAAAGAGTAGATGCAAAAGTACTTCATGAAATTATAAAAATATAAGGTGTATCTTAAGTTCTCAATCATTAATCAGCTACAATTAGATCATTCTACACACATTCTCAAACCAATGTATCATTTTTTCCCCATATTCTTAACTTTACTGTTAATCGTAATCTTCCTAATTTCAATTAGTGCCATTTATAGCAAACCTGCCTAACCCATCACTTATCTGGCTCTGAAGACCCAAATTTAAATTTGGTCTTCTTCCTTACTGGTTAATTTGATCCTGCATCAGTTACTTACTGCTGAAGGGTGGGGGGAGGGTGGTGGGTGTTGCCCACACCTGGCAGTGCTAAAGGGTCATTCCCAGTGGTGCTGTTAGCGGAAATGGAGTCAGTCACATGCATCTAGTTATCTTTCTAAACTCATTTCATTTTGTGAAAAATTGATACATAAGTATCAATATTATGGGATACTCACCCATAATATGTGTGTAAAGAACTTTCAAAAGTTGTATGTAAAACACTCTCTGCACAAAGCAAACACTCTACCAGCGTAGTTATTACTTTCCTACTGCTTAGTCCTTCTTCTCATTTACTTTTCATTTCATTTCATTCATTTTATCATCCTGTTATTCGTCGATTGCCTCGAGCAGGCCCCAGTAACGTCTCTTTCATCCAAGCCCTGAGATTATATTCAAGGCTCTTTAGGAGAAAGAGACCCATCATTGTTACTGGTATTTGGCATATTTGGTACGCCACGGGGAGTTTGCCAGACTCTGCCCTGTGGGCAGGCTACATTCGATAGCCTGCAAGTTTGTCCAAAGTAGGAATGAGACAATAAGATGTCATAAAAAAAGTTCTGATAAGATGTTTTACTTTTAAACAAATTAAAAACAAGACAACCAAAATCTCACTGCAACAACCTTGAATCTCACTGTATTAAACAGGTGGACCTGGCCAAGATTTGTGGGGAATGCTCAGGTATAGACATGAAAGGGTGTCTCTGACACACTCACCTTTTGAAAAACTCTAAATTATTCTACTCCTCCCTCCCCTTTGGCCACCTCGATTCTGCAGGTTTTCCCAACGGACATTGTCTAGTCCCTTGCTTTTACATGAGTATTTGCCTTTTTCCTTCTTGGTTTACCCCCCCCCCCCGCCCCCCGTTCCACCCACCTATGTTTGTAAAAGCCAAGATTTCATCTTTACTAACAGCTCAGTAAGTAGTGTTCTAATTGTGCATTTTTGTACCATATCTTCTTAATTCACTCATCTGTTAATGGGCACTTGGGATTTTTCCAAATCTTGGTTACTATAAATAGCACTGCAATAAATAGAGATATGCACATTATCATTTGGATTTACTGGGGGTAAATCAGACACCCAGGGGTAGAAATGTTGGGTCTGTAGTTCTAGTTTTAATTTTTGAGATATCTTCATGCTATTTTCCATAGGGAGCAAGTGGTAACTGACATTTTCACCAATACTGTATGAGAATTCCTTTTTCTCTGCATTCTAAGCACAGCTTTTGTCTTTGACCTCTTTGATAGAGGCGACTCTCACAGGTGTGAGGTGGCATACCACTGCTATTTTGTTGTGTTTCCTGCTTATTATGTGCAGTTTTTTCATGCGTTAGTTGGCCACTTGTACATCATCCTGGATACAAAGTTAGTTCAGCTCCTTCCATTTTCTGACAGTTTTTTCATGGTGGACATTTGTGAATTCCTGTCCTTTATTAATAGTTCTTTATAAGACGTATGGTAAGGGAATATTTTCTCACATTCTTTTTATCTCAATGACAGATTCTTGCACTATGCAAAAATGTTTTAGTTTGATATAATTCCATTTTTCTATTTTGTTTTGTTTTCTTTGCTGATAAAAGTGAAATTCCCAAAGTCAGAAATGAGTATCATGGAGTGTTTTCGCCTGTTTTCTTCAATGTAATTTATGGCTGTCAGT